TACTTCTCATTCATCTCAAAATATCGCTGACCCACACCAACCATGTAATACTTATGATGATGATTCAGCTTCGGATTCATCAGTCAAAAGTATTAGAAGTGCATAGGGAATATTTACAAGAATGAGTAGAAGAGGTAGAAACCGATCTCAAACACGTCAAACCTCTCAATCTCAATACTGATCTTCCTCACAACATTCTTACCAACAATTGCCACCTCGCAATGAATATTGTTCACATCCCTCACGACATTCTGTCAAACGAAATAGATCAGCATCGCTCCCGCAGCAAGGGTCACGATCCATATCACGTGATCGTGATCATCAAACCTCCAATCAAAATCAAACACAAAATGATTGTCATGATCATGGTATATAAACACTTTTTTTTTTTTTGATTTTTAGATGTCTGATCTTTACCTTTTTTTATTTTTTATTTTTTTTTTATTTATTTTATTAAAGAGCGTTCAGGTTCCCGCCACCAAATTTACGACCGACTTTTTCAGCAAAACTGGCAGCTATATCTTTTAATTAAAAAGTTAAGCGATGATATGTGCAACATTAAGAAAGAACTGAGGTGCAAAAGGATGGAGCAAAACAAGGACCTTTCTTCTAAAGTATTGGACGTAAGTGTTTTGCTAATACAAAACACTCTGGCTAATATAAAAATGCTGCTGGCTAAACCGATATCTGGATATATTAGATATTTATTTTTATTGATAACCTATATGGAACATATACTTAAGTTATTTGTTTAATAATTTTGTAGGGAGTATATACTGGCATTGTAAACCGTCTTTTTCTTCAACACGTCTATTCAACACAAAGCATATTAAAGGAAGCCCTCAAGAATTATTTTAACAAAAATCTTTCCGAATTCATGTTGGGCATAAGTGAAAATGAGTTTACCAATAAGTTCCACGGTGGCTGGTGTAGTCAAATGAGCAATTTTTATTTGAATAATTATAATTGTTTATTTATTAACATTTTATACTGATATATTAATTTTTTTTTAATAGCTTTTATCAAAAATGAAAAATTATCGTGGCTCAGCATTGCAAAACGTCCGCTTGTCTATTTGGAAGGTCTTCGGCTGAGAAAAGCTCCTCCCACTTAAAGTAACGCAGCACCTGGTGAAATAGTAAAGTAGAAGCAAAGTCCACAAGTTAGTGAGTGCTATCGCACTCTTTTTGAAGAGAACAATAAGGGTTTTCTTTG